AGATTCGATCTTTTATATATGATACGTAAGATTAAAATTCGATTCTAAAAAGATCTGTTTCTTCAATATTCTTTGCAGAAACCCGTGATTCGTTATTATGCGGTTAAGTGAATTACATAATCGTGAATTTATCGACGACGCAATTTTTGAAGTCGTAAAATAATGTCTCGAAAGTTAGCCGAAAAATTAATTCAAGACGTTATTTTCAATGTATTAAATATTATTTGACGATGAATATACTAATTTCTTAAGTTTTTATGTAATAACGGTCACAGTGCATTTCCCCTTAAATTTGAGGCTATTGTTATAATTTGTATTAAATTAACTTTCCTATTAATAATATGAAAATTATTTTTTAAAATTGTTTACAAACAAAATATATTTTAAATTTTAAAATACCAATTTAATTATAATTAATTTTGAACTTTTAACGAAGTCATATGATTGCCAGCAATACTAATGCGCAGTAAAATTCAGAAAATCCAATGTTACACACAAATTTAATCGTGGGAATTGCTTTTACATATAGGATCGACTAATGCATTTTGCTAATTGCCGACATTTACTTATATGTTAGCAATATTTTCTAACAGGTCTAGCCTTTTAATATTTTAAATAAGAATAATTGATTATTGTATGTTCTAATTATTAATTTATTAATCTATTAGTAACAATAGTTTTAAATGATCTTGAGATTGAAATAAAAAATAAATTTGACTATGGCGTAGTAAATTTGCGATAAATTTAAAAGTTTTTCATATTAAAATTGAAATTGGTATTTTAGACTCAAAATTTTTCTAAGTTAAGTTATAAAGCTAATTAATACTTATATAATTCAAAATTATGAGAGTTTTATGATTAACGTTAATAGATAAAAATTTGTGCTAATTTATTTATAATTGAATATATTTATAATGCAAAATATGTGAGTTAACTTCGAAAATAATATGTGCGAATTGCAGAGAACTCTAAAAGAAGAATTGCATTAACATTCATAATGAATGTTGAATTAAATAGCTAATTTTATTTTTTTTTAGATTCGTCTTTAACTAACTTGATTTTCTTAGTGATTTAATATAATTATCAAAGAATTGAGGACAGCTCAATTTGGTCTGAATGTAATTTTATTGTTCCAATTGAACGATGCTTTTATCATTCATTTGAAATAATGATTTTATCATTCCAATTGAACGATTCTTTTACTGTTCGTTTGGAACAATGATTTTATCATTCTTTTAGAATAATGATTTTATCATCCCTATAAAAAAGAAATGTCCAGAAAATGTCATTGAAAATGTCCTGAATCTATCCAGGTATATCAGAGAATGTCCAGAAAATATCTATTATTTGTCCTAAAAAATGATCAAGCTTGCTATTTGGGTTTATTCAAACCTCAGAAACATCTGGAATTTGTACAAAAAGAAATTTAATCTATTTTTCTAATACAGAATATATTCAGAATTTGTATTAAAATTGTGTGTCTATTTTTCTAATACAGAAAATATCTGGATTATGTATTAAAATTTATGTCTGGAATATGTATTCCCTATAAAAAAGAAATGTCCAGAAAATGTTAACAAAAATGTCTAGAATTTATCCAAATATATCAGAAAATATCTAGATTATGTATTGAAATTTATGTTCAGAATATGTATATTTTTTTTTTAATAAAAAAAATGTTCAGACTGATTTTAAATCTAGTCCTTTCTAATTTTAGTTAATATATATTTTTATTTTACATTTCATAAATAAATGATCTACAATTGTATTATTCATGTATATTGATAATCAATTTTCTTTTTTTTTTTTTTTTAACAAAAAAAACTTTTATTTTATTTAACATAATCTTTAAAAAAATTATTTTTTTAAACTTAAATACTTGAACTATAAGAACTCTTATTAAATGTACTTTTTTTTATGTAAATTTTAATTTTATATCTTTTTTTATAAACATTAATACAGAGATTTTATGACGAAATTTGAGCACTTTGATTAAAGATATTTTCCTTAACCATGTGTGTTCATTCTTAGTACAGGTAAAGTACCTCTCATTTCTAAGTAAATGTTTTTCAGCAGGTTCGATACTATTTATATCTAATTTTTCATCAAAAATTGATTTAACATTCGTGCAGTAATATTTTTTTTTATAACTTTACTAAATGAATCATACTTTTTTTAACTTCACCAAGAAATTTAAGTACTTTAGTCAAAGTCAATCACTTTTTATTTCTAGTTATTTAGTAGGTTCAATACTATTTGCATATAAAATTTAATCTTGATTAAATTAATATTCATGTTGTAATATGGGAGGTAAGCTATTAAAATCATTTACAGATTATATGATTTACTATATTCGTAACTTGATTTTAATGGCAAACCTCTTATATGTGTTTTTGTAACTTTATTAATAGCACAAACCTTTTTTTTTAAACTTTACAGGATAATTTGAGCACTTTGGTCAAAGTCAATCACCTTTCATCTCTAAGTGAAAGTTGTTCAGTAAGTTCAATACTATTTATATCTAATTTTTTTATTTCAATTAGATTAATATTCGTATAGAAATAAATTTTTTGTAACTTTATTAAATAAGTCATACTTTTTTGACTTCACAAGTTAATTTGATCACTTTGAATAAAGTAAACTGCTTATTGTGCATTAAGTAATAATGTTCTATTTATCAAATATTACTTACATATAAATTTTTATCTTGATTTTTTAATATTCATTGAGTAATAGCTTTTTGTAATTGTATTAATTCTCAAATTTTTTTTATTTTTTGAATATTTATTTATGTAATTTATTAAATACTGTAACAATATAAATGTATATTACGAAATTACTACATTTATAAAAAAAAAGTATCAAATAAAAGTATTTAAAAGTTATTACTTTATTTTGTTATAATTAATTTTTTTTTGAATAAATTAAAAAATTTTTTTTATTGATTTTATTGTATTTTTTAAAATTACATAAAACAGTAATTAAGATAATAATTATATGTTATAATTACAGTTTTTCATGCAGCATTTTATTTATTTTTAAATATGCTTTTATATTATAATAAGTAATGATAAATTTAAAACTTTTATTAAGAGTAAAGTTCACTTTGAATTTCATAAAAATTTGCAAAAAAGATACTTTATTTTCCTTCCCTTAAACCCATCTGTTATAATCTTTGCTTTATGTTTTTGAATTGTTTATGTGTTCTTATAAATTATCCAATCATGTGATCTGTTTACATTATACTTGATCATCTAAAAATTTAAAAATGACAATATATATAAATATTATTTATTTTTTGTTTATTTTTTTTTGTTTATTTTATTTTTTAATTTTCTCTCTTTTCTCTTCTTTTTTATCAAGTAGATTTATTTCTTTAAATATTATTTTCTAACATTATTAACTACTAACAGTTTACTAACTATATTTATTTTTTTCTTTTATATTATTACTAACTTATTTTTTTACTATTTTAAATATTACTAATATTACTAATGTTATTTTTATATATTTTTTTAAATATTATTACTAATTTTATTTTATTTATATTTTTTAAATATTATTACTAATATTATTTCTTATTTTTTTATATTTTTAAATATTATTATCAATTTTCTTTTATATTTTATATTATATTAAATAGTACTTTTTTATTATAAAATATTTGTATCATTATTTATATTTTTTTAATAACTAAATAAATTTAAATTAAAATAATATTTAATAAATTATTTAAGTTATAAATTTGATATTATGAATAGTGAAAATGTCTAAAAACGTTCAAAAAAATGAAATACGTTCAGAAAAATATAATTATGTCTGGACAATGTCTGGAAAAACAGGATTATATCTAGAAATAATATGAAAAATATCTGAAAAATGTCCAATTTTGCATTCTAAAGAAATTGAACATTGAAATTCTGGACAACAATATTTTCCAGACAAAATGAATATTCAGAATTCACCAAGATTTGGAACATATTCTGGACAATAGAAATGTATACATTATTATTTTAATACATTTACCTGTTTAATTTCAGAGATTCTTTTTTTATAGGGCATTCCAATCAAATGATGCTTTTATCATTCATTTGGAATGATAATTTTATCATTTTAATTAAATTATTCTTTTATTGTTCATTTAGAACGATAATTTTTTCATTTCAATTGAATAATTCTTTTACTATTTTTTAGAATAATGATTTATTATTCCAATTAAATGATGCTTTATCATTCTTTTAGAATAATAATTTATCATTCTAATCAAACGATTCTTTTGCTGTATTTTTAGAATGATAATTTATTCCAATTGAATGATGCTTTGGAATTACATTCAATTGTAACAATACGATTTTTATAAACAAATAGTTAATAACTTTGGCAAACTATTAATTCAAAAAAAAAATTTGCAAAATCGGGTTTCAAATATTTGAGAATGTTATATCACCCACAATTTTTATGTTATCTATATGTATTCTAGAATATCTTATAACATTCCAAAACGTTTCTTGGACAGAAATCTCACCAGCTACGAAATATAAGGACGGTCTAAAGTCATTACAAATAAATAAATTATCTATTTAAAAAGTTCTTTTAATTTATTGAATAAAAATGAGAGAAAAATGCTTATTATCATATGACTAAACTAGATTTTTTCATTTGTGTAGCACGTGATCCGTTATCTCTAATTTATTTTGAACCGAAAGAAAAAAAATGTCAATACTTTCATTTGAAACTTAGTATTAACCATGCCATGAAAATAATATATTAAATTTAAATACAGCATATATATAATCTACAATACTTTCCTAACGCAAAGACATTTTGAAAGTGATTTGGGCTTAAATTTCTTCAGTATATTATTTCTCTTGTCAAATTCAAACATACAAAGCTTAATCATTATTCTAGAAATATCTAAGTAATTAAGTGAAATGACGAGTGAAAAAATAAGGAAGAAATTTGCCTGTCTTTCGTTGTTATTATTTTTTTAAGTAATTAATTCAATAGGCAACTTTGCATGCGCTTGAAATATCACAAGCATTACCGAACAGGCCTACCCACCATGTATTCTGATTGCTTAGCAAGCCTAGAACGAACAAAAGACATGCTATTTTAACACCACAAATGAAAAAAATGGCATGAAATAAACCATTTCCATTTACGCTTTTTTCTCCTTTCAAGTGGCTCAAAAGTGCCAAGATACTGTTGAATGACCATATTGAACACAAAACTGAGAGATATTTACTACGACAATAAAATCCGATTGGAGGTGTGAAGTAGGCTAAGAGCACTGTTATCCAAGGTACTACTATTGACACTAAAGCAGCGAAAGTGACGCGGGCGTAATGGTCATTTTTATTATGTTCGGCGAGTTTGTTTACGGTTATTTGATAGTTTCCTAATATGTTATTAGGATCGAAAGCAACTAGATTATTTCGAATTGTTCTCCTATAGATTGCAGGTAATGTCCAAGACAATGCTAATGGTATACTTGGCCAATCCTCATCACAGATTGTCGGTCTGACCACCCTGGATATTTCAGAAACTATACCGATTAATATATAGTATAACGATGCCAACGACGATAACCTCTCTAGCACGGATGCCTTGGCGACACATGCTTTCATAAGTACTGACTGTTCAATGTTCATGGCGTGTACTCCGAAAGGTCTGTTTGGGATTTCTGTTATCAAGTTATCATTATCACTTCTAATAAAACGATCAGAAGAGAGCCAATAAACGCACAATGATGTCTCATCACTCTTTACGCAGCAGGTGTAAAATAATCCTGTGAATGGACAACCTAGACATCGAATCAACCATATTAACTTTTCCATGAAATCAACCCATGGCGCGACCCCAATTGTTGCTATAGCTGGTAAGCATCCTAATACATATTGAGGCACAGGATCTTGTAATTTACGTATGATTTTTAGCATATACAAACACTCTGTTGCCATTTTCAAAGTTATTGTTATCAAGACTTTAATAAATGAAAAAAGTCTAGAAGATTAAATTGCAAGTTAATATATATATCGAATTCTTTCACATTTATCTTGATAAAAAGCATCTCAGTGAAACTAAGATGAATTAATATAGACAACAAGATGAGCGATTATTGGTGAATGATAACTTTATTTATAATGAAATTACAAATCTGGTGAACAGTGAAAGGATTCTTTATAAATTAGAAATCTATGAATTGAGACAGAATAAGTCCATATTTAGAAATCCGAGTGATGACATAAATTTAATGCCAGCCAGGCTTGTAATACCATGCTTAATGCCGGCAACTTCCCCCCTTTAAAAAATCCCCCGCCCGGTCCTGCCCGAAAAATTAATTGTGAACGTCCCGTAATTCTTTCATATTCTATAAGTTTAAAAAAGCATAAAAAAATTAATTAAAAATAAATTAGTAATGTCAACTAAAAATAATTACATTTTTGGAAAAGAAATATTATAATGAACATAAATACATTTAACTATCATAAGCGTGCCGTCAAAATCAATAAGATTATTTTATTTCGAATTTTATAATTTATATTATGTAAACTAACAGTTGCAATCCGACGACTAAATTATTTTAACATTAAATCTTTAAATCTTTAAATCGAGTTTGTAACATATACAAACTAATTTGCGTGGATCCGTTGTAAAACATTTGACATATACATAAAAGGAAATGATTTTGTTTGATAATCATTTTATTGGAAACTTCCATTTTAGAAAATTAAATTTCCTTCCAAATGTGTTTCCAATCTTCCAAGTGCTATAATGACTGTATAACAGATTGCATATTAATATTTCAGATCAATGACCTAAACATGACGCAACTTATGATTCCTATTAATAAAAAAAGACAAAAAAGATTATCCACTATCTTTATCAATCAATATACGTACGTAATGTTAGAAACTGTATTTCAAAAAATAATCTGCTTAGTTTTTTTCGGTTTAAAAGAAACTCACATAGCTTAATCTAAAAATTATGCAAAACTTGTATAATTTTATGCAAAATGTACAATAACGTATGTTTTTAAAAAAATTTCTGAATCACATGATCACGACTGCTGCGCCGAGATACGCATTATGCTTTTCTTTTTTTTTCGTTTGATCGCTTCGGGATTCGTCGAATAATCGGTAGGCGTTTATTAATTTTTAAAGTTCAACTGAATTATAATAGGTAGGCCTGTTCTCTTACAAAAATTTTAAATAAGTATCGTTGAATCTAGCAACTAGGCATTGTAACTGTTAATAAAGTAACAATCTAAGCAAAAAGTTTGACAGTTTTATTGATAATGTACAAATAAAAGTACCCAAGTTATGACAAAGGTACCAAAGTTTTCCTATTTCATCCGACATATTTAACGTCTTACATCAAGTTTTATTAAACCCTTCACCTAAAAACTTCCTATACTTTATAAAAATTTAGCAAACATGGGGGTATAAAGTATTGAGCATATGTTATGATCCAGGTGTAACACGTATTATTACACATCCGCCAAATCAAGCCATATTTTTTTTCTATTTTTAGTTAGTCGC